CCCCGCCCCCCGCAGGTGGAGGACGCCCTCACCTACCTGGACCAGGTGAAGATCCGCTTCGGCAGCGACCCCGCCACCTACAATGGCTTCCTGGAGATCATGAAGGAGTTCAAGAGCCAGAGGTGACCCCGGAGACCCTTCCAGCCCCGGGACCCCCGCCCCGCGCCCGGCCCCTATCCCGATCCCGGTAGCCCAGTGACCTTGAAGTAGGTTGTCCCCTTTCCCAAGCTCAGCTCCTCCTAAAAAAATGGGGCTGCGTGGTCCCCACCTTGTGCTGCGGTGGGCACTCCTGGAAAGAGGGCAGGGCAGGGGTCTCTAAGAGGCAGGCAGAGTCGGCCTCTGTCTTTATTTAAAATGTTGGTTTTTATTTCAGTTTTTATTCACAAAAGATCTAAAGGGGTTCACTTTGAATTTGGGGGGGTTGCGAAGAATTGCATGCAAATGTTGTTTCTCTTGGTTGAATGTGTTTTGGCAGTGTCTCCCCCTTAAATCTTGTTTCCAAGGTGCCTCTCTTCAAGCCCCCTAGTCCCAAGCCTACTTGGAAGTGAGGGCCACAAAATGCTTAGTAAGAAACCTGGCTGATAGAAAGTGTTATCATTCATGGTCTGTTTTTAGGCACAGAATCGGGAGGCTTAGTGATAGTGGAGGTAACTCCAGCCTCAGGCCTTTGTATTTTATGGAACACTCGCTGGGCCTTGCAGTAGGTGAGGGATCCATCTTCGTAGCAGAGACAGAATTAGAACTCAGGCCCTCAGACTCCTAGATTCCTGCAGGTCCCATGCCTACCACGCTGGTGCCCTCCCTTAGGAAGACCTGTGGTCATGGTGCGTTGTACTCAGTTACTTAGCTCAAAACCTGTGTCATCAGCAGCCTCAGGTTCATACAAAATGAGCCAGATTTTCGCACGGCTTAGAAGACTCTGGCCTCCTGCTGCTCTCTGTGTCTAGGACTTAGCTTAGTCAAGTCTTGAGATTTTTCTGAAGCCAGGGCGTGTGGTCAGAATGTTTTGGGGAGCTATGCTGTATGAATGTTCTGCAGTGCTCCCCAGGAGGGCCCTGGGGCCCAGGCCTGGCACATGGGATGTGGATAGGTGGTCTCTCCCTGGCCCCACCTTAGACGCTTTTGACTGTGGCGGTATCGCAGCATCGAGAGTGGAGTCGGTGTGGACTTGGCTTGGGGACCCTCTTACCCACTTGTGCTCTCCTCCCTTCCAGCATCGACACTCCCGGAGTCATCAGACGTGTGTCTCAGCTCTTCCATGAGCACCCGGACCTTATCGTCGGATTTAACGCGTTCCTTCCTCTCGGGTACAGGATAGACATTCCCAAGAATGGCAAGATAAACATACAGTCACCTCTAACGAGCCAGGTACAGTGGTTCCGGTGGTCACGGCCTGCTGTATTCCCTTTGTGTCATTGCTGGGACTCAGCATGAGACCCGTTCATTTTCTAGACCTGCTAGTTGTTTCAGGTACAGAGCAGAGCAGAGAAACACACGCAGGCAGCCTCCATGTCCCCAGTTAATGTGTTCGCAACACCTGAGAGGAGGGGTTGGGGTGCAGCCTGGTGTCAGAGCCTGTGCTTGGCGCGTGTGAGGCCCTGGGTTAGGTCTGCAGCACTACGCGCACGTGCTCGCACACACACACACATGGGGCAGCCTCCTGATGGCATGAAAATTAAATCAGGATGACAGCGAAGCCATGCTGAGGCTGGCTGTAGGGCTTGCCGTTGTCCCTTGGCATATGCTTCTTTCTGTCTGGCTGCCTGGCGCCCTTGGTGCCACCAGCAGAATAAAGTGGCTGAGCCATGTGTGTCGTCAAGAGCTGTTTTCAAGGTTGGCATTGCCAGGGTCATAGCCTCAGCTCAGGCTTGGGTTTTTTATTCCTTTTGGGGGTGACAGGTTGCTACCCTGTCTCTGTGTCTCTTCTTGTTAAAGCTTCCCAGACCCTCAGAACCAGAAAGCCTGTTGAGTTTAACTTGGATAAGGTATTGGTGTCCTTTTCTCTGTCTCGGAACAGGTGGTTTTTGGGCCCTAATTCTTTGCACTGGGTGCCGCCCAGTGCATTGTGGGACCTTCAGCAGCATCCTTGGCTTCTGGTCACCAGATTGTCACCACGTTGTGGCAGTCAGCTTGTCTGCAGACACTGCCTGCGTCACCCGTGTGGCAAACCGTGGTCTAAGTGACCCCCGAATGCTGGCAGGGCACGGTGAGGCCTCAGCCAGTGACATGGAGCGTCTCCCTCGGAGGGGGGCGCGGTGAGTTGTCTGGTCAGTTGGGAGTCGGCTGTGCAGAGGAAATAAGGGTAGGGGACGAGAGCGTCCCCGTCCCAAAGGAGGCCAGTGCGCTTCCTCTTCCCATTTGCCAAGGGAACCGACCAGGGCGGCTAGGAAAGCCCGGCTGGGAGGGCCTGTGGCAGCTCTCCCATGTGGGAGTGGCCTTGTTGCTATGTGGGCGACCGGGCCCGCTCTCCTGCTGGATCCTAGCGTGCTCCCAGCTGGATTCAGAATGGCTCTGTCCGTGAATAGCAGGGGTCCCTGCGTCTTACACCCCAGGGGGACGCCCCACAGGCTGTGTTCCTCCGGAGGTGGTGTGAGCTTTGGGCTTCTCTGAAGTGCTAAGGAGCAGGCTGCAGCTGGGGCCCTGGGCCACTGGCTTCTGCTGGCCAGGGTAGACCCAGCGGCCACCACTGGTCTCAGGAGAGCCAGGTGCTGGCTTCCCAGAGGTGAAGCCCCTGAGGTGCCCTTTGGCGGCTGGGGTGGCCCCAAGACCCAGCAGGCACCCACATGCGAGGCCCGAGGGTTCTCTCGGTTCGTATTTTGGCTTCACTGTCTAAGCTGTAACTCGCTTGTCCTTTTGTTGCCTTGTGAAGCCTGCTGACTGCAGACGGGGTGGCCCTGGGCACTGGGGGAAGGGCAGCAGGCCACGTCTCCCAGTGTCACCAAGTGTCCCCCTGGGGCAGAACTCGCTGTGAGAACACACATCCCTGGGGGATAGACTCGGGCCAGCCAGTGAGGACCAGGGGTGTGGGGGAAAGGGCACCCCGTGCTGGCCTTCGGGGTCAGTGCCCCTAGGGACCTAGTGAGCTGGCCACCAGTGCACCCCCTAAGATGTCTCCCTCCTCAAGGCATCCTCACATCACCCTGGGTTCAGTTGTGCAGAGTGGCACAAGCCTGTGAGCCCCACGCTCGGGAGGCTGAGGCAGGAGTGTCACAGGTTTAGTGAGCCCGTTTCAAAATATAGAGAAGAGAGGGCTAGGCACGGAGCTAGCTCGGTTCCATCTCCAGTACTACAGGAAAAAGAAAGCAGAGCTGGAAGAGGATCAGCTTCACTGGGTGTCAGCGCTGTCTTCCCGGTAGCGGTGAGGTCCGCGGCTGTCGCAGGCCAGGAGCCCGGCGTAGGAGAGTACAGCTGACCTTTCCAGGACAGGGGCCCCATGGAGGTGGCAGGTTACCCTCAGGCCCGCTTTCCGGTGACCCATGCACACCCAGGGAAGCACCCACCTCCCAGGCACTGCTGTCTCTGTGCCCTGCTCCCCAGGACTGGCAAGCAGAGGAGGGGACTTGGGAGAAGCAGGCGCAAGGCGGCGGGGTGCTGCATGTCTGTGACCCCAGCATCCTGGGGGCGGCCTGGGCAGCAGTCTCGGAGGGAAGGAAAAGGCCTGGGTGTAGCTCAGGGTGAAGGCCCGAATTCCATCCCAGTGTTGCAGAAGAAGAAGGGAAAAGCAAACGGCCAGGCAGAGACCGAGGAGCCTGCGTGCGGTCACCAAAGCGTGGCAGGCAGGGAGCAGGGCAGCGGGTGACGGGAGGACAGGCTGGAGCAGAGGTGAGGTGGGGACAGCCAGCGCGTGAGCGGGTCTGGATGGTGCCTGTGCTATACGCAGAGGGGCCCGGGGTCAGGAAGGCAGCCGTGGGAGGGGGCAGGCCTGGGACCGTGGAGGAGCGGCCTGTGTGCAGAGGAGGGCAGGTGGCGCGGGCTGTCCCGGGAGGTCCCACGCTGCTGCCTGACTCGTGGGTCCAGTTTCCCTGCCGTCTCAGTGAGGGGAAGCTCTCTGTGCAGTCCGCGGCATCACCCACAGCCCTGGAGCCTCACTAGCCTGGCTGCTTGCAGCGCTCTTCCGGTGTTCAGGGTGTCCACGGTGTCGTGCGGTCATCGCCAAACGTCTGTCACCCCCAAGACAATCCTGCCCTGCCCCGCCCCGCCCTTCCATGCCCACGCACTCCGCTCCCTGTCCCACGGCAGCACCTGCTTGGACGTTCGTGTCAGTGCAGTTGTGTCGTGTGGCCTGTGTCACTGTTGCCACTCGCCAGGGTTTCCATCCACTGGGTGGCTGTCAGCCTCACCCTGTATTTTTGTTTTGTTTTTTGTGGTCCTTAGGATTAAAACTAGGGCCTTCTCACTGAGCTCCACCCCCGGCCCATTTTTTATTTTGAGATAGGGTCTTGCTAAGTTGCCCAGGCTGTGCTAGAACTTGAGGCCCTCCTGCCTCAGCCTCCCAGTGAGCTGGGTTGCACCGGTGTGTGGTAGAGTGCCCCTCTCTCCCCTGCCCTGGACGTGAGCGCTACAGCTGTGCTCACATAGGGCGGGTCCGTGTTGCTGTTTAGATCTCGCCCGTCTGTCCCTCTCCCTCCAGTGCAATTGCAGTGTTCAGTTCCTCTTGGTGGCTGCTCTGCCACACCCTGGCAGCCTGTGGGGAGGGAAATCACAGCCAGTCTCAGGCCCGACACCTGGCGCGTCTTGTGTGCCTTCCTGGGCATCCCTGCCCGCTGGCGGGCTGGTGCTGTCCCCAGCGTAGCTGTGCTGCCCCCTGTTCTGTTTCTGTGCAGGTGGACATCAGGGAGAGCATCAGGTGGGAAGCTCGCGGTCTTGGGGGTTTGTTCTCTTCCTCCGTGCTAGGGCTGGAGCAGCGTTCGCTGGAGCAGCGTTTGCTGGAGCGCCCCGTCTGTGCTGTGCACTCCCTCGAGGAGACAGCTGTGGGTCGGGCGTCTGCACCGCCAGGCTTCCTGAGTCTGAGGATGCAGACGGTGGGAGGGGCTGCGCCGCCCCACCAGAGCCTGTGTTTGTTCGGGCCTATACCTTGCCGCTGTGCCCAGGAGGGGCCTGGCGCCCGTGCCCTCGTGTCGTGGGCGGCTGTGTCTGCAGCTGGTGTCCTGTGCGCAGTCGGGCCAGGGTATCGCCGTGTGGCAGGCTGGTGGGCGGCCTGCCCGGAGGAGACTGGGGACCAGTGCAGGCAACTTCATGGGCACACAGGGAGGATTGGGCAGCATGCTGTGCGTGTGCCCTGCCTTCCAGGGCCCCCAAAACAGCGCTGTTCTGCATTCATTTCAGAAAGCTGGGCTTGCAGGTGAGCTTGGCAGTGCAGGCCTATAGTCCTAGTTGCTCAGAAGGCTGAGTTCGAGGACTGCAAGAGAACCTGGACAATGTAGTGAGACCCTGACAGAAAGTAATTAAGAAAGCTTGGCTCAGAGCGCCTGCTTGGCGTGTGGGAGCCTGGGGTGCCTACAGCAAGGAGGACAGAGCTGGCTGTGCGTGGGCCTGGGCCTGGCACTGCCCTGCGGTAACTGCTTGTCCCGTTGTCAGGAGAACTTGCGTAGCTCCGGCGACTGTGCAGAGGACCTCAAGCCCCAGGCGCCGCTGGGGTCTGATTCCGTAGAGTTCAACAACGCCATCAGCTATGTGAACAAGATCAAGACCCGCTTCCTGGACCACCCGGAGATCTACAGATCCTTCCTAGAGATCTTGCACACCTACCAGGTGGGGCCCCCTTCCTGTTCCTTTCGGAATCCACTCGGGCTTACAAGGTGGGGAGGAAACCCGCATGCCTGGCACGGAGCTGCACCCCAGTCCTTTGTCCCTTTTTCTGGCGTTAATTTTATTTGGTTTTGAAACATGGCCTTGCTATGTTGTCCAGGCTAGGCTAAGACTGTGATCCTCCTGCCTCAGCCTCCCAGAATACTGGGATCACAGGTGTGTACCACTATGAGCAGCTCTTTTCAGTTCTCAGGTCCATGCGCTTGCAAGGCAGGCGGTGGAACCACTGAGCTAAATCCCTGGCCCTCTTTTCAGCTCTTATTTTGCTTGCTGAGTACCCAGGCCAACCTCCTGCCTCAGCTTCCCAAGTAGCTAAGATGGTGGGTGCGTGCCATCACGCCTGGTGGTTTCTGTTTAATTTTGATTTTGATTTGCTTCTCGTGACCTTGTCTTTTTTTTTTTCTTCTTTCTTTTTTTGTTTTTGTATTGGGGATCGAACTCAGGACCTTGCGCTTTCGAGGCAGGCAGTGAAACCACTGACCTAAAGCCCCAGTCCTCCCAGGACTTTTTGGTTGTAAAGAGGTTACTAGGGGCCGGGGATTTGGATAAGAGGCGTTGCCTCGCCAAGCACAAGGGTCCTGAGTTCAATCCCCAACACCAAAAATAAAAACAAAAGAAACGAATGAAAGCTAGTCAGGCATGGTGGGGGGGGGTGGCACCTGTGATTCTACCATTGTGGGAGCCTGAGGCAGGAGGATCACAAGTTCAAGGCCAGGGCCGGAGATTTAGCTCAGTGGTTCTGCTGCCTGCCTCGCAAGCACAAGGACCTGGGTTTGGTCCCCGGTACCAAAAAAAAAACAAGTTCAAGGCCAGCCTGGGAAGGCGGTCACCCAGCAGGAGGGGGCCTGCGGCTCTGTGGAGGCCCCACCGGTGGCCTTGGTGCATCCAGGCTGGGGTGAGGAGGTTCTTCTGTGATGCGCAGCATAGTGCTGTGGCAGCCTGGTGGTGGGCAGCCCCTGCGGTCCCACAGGCCATTGTCAGCTTGGATCTGGACATGGTCAGCTGCAGGAGGTGTGGGTGCTGCCGGCCGTGTGAGGTTCGGTCCCACAGGCCACTGTCAGCTTGGATCTGGACATGGTCAGCTGCAGGAGGTGTGGGTGCTGCAGGCCGTGTGAGGTTCTCAGCGCCCGCTTCCTGCGGGGTGGCTGCAGTCTGCTTGTAGAGGTCGCTGGGGACCCCTGCCATTGGCGCCCCCCTCGTGTGCCAGGAGTGGAGGTGCTTGGCATGCTGCTGAGCTTTGTACAGGGAAGTGGCTTGGCGTGGCCTCCGTGTCTCCTCCACTTCCCTCAGCAATGGTGTGGCCTTGGTCCTGGAAACCTTCGGGGCAGGGCGGGCAGTTTCTGTTCCCGAGTGGGTGCTCTGGATACCACGCCTGCCTGCCTTGGGGCCGGTGAGCTGCCCAGCGGGTGCGTGGCCCGGACTTCTGCCCAGCTCCACAGGAGCAGAATGAATGACCGGCAAGACCTGGACCAGATCCTCTCCTATCCAGGGTGTGGGTGTGGGGCAGTGGGGTGTGGCCACCACCTGCTGGGACTAGGCTGGCCACCGTGCAGCCAGGAGGGTCAGACACCGTTGGTGCTGGCGCTGGCGCTGGCGCTGTCCTGCACGAAGCTGACGGGGACAGATTGGGACAGGGCAGCTTCAGCTTTGCAGGCCCCTTCCCTCTGTCTGACCAGGGCCTCTGTCCCTTCCACGGGTCCCCGGGCCCCAGCTGCGTGACCCCCTTTGCCCATCAGCAGCGAGCAGCAGAGTCATACAGCCTGGTGCTGCCCTGTCTGTGCTGTGCCGCCTGTGGGACACCTGGGCCCGGCCTTACGCGCCCCCTCCCGTGCCCACTGTAGAGGGAGCAGCTGCACGCCAAGGGCCGGCCACTCCGGGGCATGTCGGAGGAGGAGGTCTTCACGGAGGTGGCCAACCTCTTCCGCGGCCAGGAGGACCTGCTGTCGGAGTTCGGACAGTTCCTGCCCGAGGCCAAGCGCTCACTGGTAAGTCAGTCGTGGAGCTGGGCCTGCTCACCGCCAGGCCAACTGGGTGGCTACCCTGCCTTTCTTTCCCCTTCTCCTGAGGGATGTGAGGCTCCTTGGAAAAGCCAAGATGCAATTAATGCAACAGAAACCCACCGTTGCTGTGTGCAGGACGCGGTGGCCTTCAGTGCACTCGCCATGTGTGTGGCCGGTACCTGGGCTTCCGGAGCCCTGTCCCGGGCGCCACCGTCCACTTCTCTCCATGTGCAGTTGCTGGTCTAGACACATCACGTCCGTGGGATGATACACCATGTGGCCTCGTGTGTCTGCTGGTGTCACTCGGTGTCTCGGTCTCCAGGGTCATCCATGTCGTGGCCGTGTTGGCACCCTGTTCCTTTTTGTGGTCATGTAATATTCCATGGTGTGGCTGGACCCTGTGTGTTTATTCTTTCGTTTGCTGATGGACGTGTGGGCTGGTTTGGCCCTTGGGCTGCTGTGAATGATGCTATTGTACAGTCATGTGCGCCTGCTTGTTTGAACAACCAGTTGTAGATCTTTCCGGTTTATACCCAGAGAAGAACTGCTGGACGGTGTGGTAACTTTGTGTGTTTGTGTGTGCAGAGCTAGACATTGGCCCCAGCGGCCACGGAGCTGCACCACCAGCCGCGTCTGAGCTTTGAGACAAGGTCTCACTAAGCTGCCCAGGCTGGCCTTGGGCTTGAGTGTTTCTCCTGCCTCAGCCTCCTATGTAGCTGGGATGCAGGCACACACATCGCTGCGCCAGTGGGTTAACTGCAGAACCCTGCCTGACCTGCACAGAGCCGCAGCGTTGCGCACGTGCAGGCCCGTGTGTTGTGGTGCGGTGTTCCCGGCTGCCGTGGCTGGGCTGGTGTCACATGAGCCACGGCGCATGGTGGCACGACCCACTGTGCTGCGCGCCACCTGTGTCTTGTGTCTGCTCTGGAGAAACCCCTGTTCCGGTCCTCGGCCAGTTCTTGAATTGCTCTTTGCTGAGTTGTGAGGCTGCTGCACGATCCCGACCTGAATTTTTCAGCTGTGTGCTTTGCCAGCCCTGTATCCCCCCGTGCTGTCCTCTCTTACTTTCTTACCCTCCTGGGCTGCACAGAAAGAAGTGCTGAGTTTGCAGGGCGCTCCCTGCCCTCACTTTCCTGTGGCACCCTGCTGCGGGGCTCAGTGTGGGGAACCCTTGGCGTCAGCCCGCCTTCCCCGCCCTCCTCCTAGTGATGCGCCAGTCCGAGCTCTTCCTTGCAGTCGGGTCGTGGGCTCTCCTCTCCCCCTGTCCTTCTTCCCCCGTCTTCACACCATGCTGCAGCCGGCGCTTTTGCTCTCTATCCTGAGTTGCTGTCTCGCCAATAAGTGCCCCGTGGGGGTGTCTGTCTGGTGGCGCAGGCACACGAGGCTGAACTGGGAGGATTGCTGCAAGTTTGAGCCTGGGTTACCCATAGGGAGACCCTGCCTCAGAAGACCAAAAACAGGGCTGGGGATTTAACTGAGTGGTGCCTCCACCTGCCTTGCAAGCACAGGGACCTGAGTTTATTAATCTCTGGTACCAAAAAAAAAAAAAACCCATGAAACCAAGAGGTATGGAAAAGACGCCAAAGAGGAAACGAGCCGCCTTGCTGGTTGAATCTGAGCAGTCTGAGTGAGGGGTCAGTGCCCTTCCTCTGAGGCCTGCATGAGAAGCAGTTCAAGCCTTGTGGTCCAAAGTGGCCGCAGGCTGTGTGTGGACGAGTGCGTGTGGCTGTGTGCCAATAAAACTTTATCTGTGCGATGAGCGGGCGCAGCCGGGGCAGGAAGACTGGCTGCCCAAGGAGCCGTGTCCAGCCCGGGGGACTGGGGCCTCAGCGCTGTGGATCTGCAAAGACAGATGGAGCTGCGCGGGTGGGCGGCGGCGTCTTCCCCCCAGTGCTTGCAGTGGGAGCCGCGTCTGGCTGAGGCCGCACGACGGCCATGTGCGTGTGCACGTGCGGGGCACATCGGCCAGGGCGGCGGTGGGAGGGCAGCGAGTGCCCCCAACAGCTCGTGGGTGCGCACTGTGTGCTGTGCTGCCCCTTTGCTTCGCTTCACCCCGTACGAGGGACTGAACACTGAGCTGCAGCCCCGTGCTTTGCTGTGTCCCTCTTGAGACAGGGTCTCGCTGAGTGGCCGAGTTGCTGGGGTCACAGGCATCCACCGCTGCTGAAGTCCTAAGTGCTGTCCTGACCCCGCCGCCCCGGGGTGCTGCTGCCTGTTTGCTCCCGCGCGTGTCTGCGGCGCCCTGACGTCTGTCTGTCCCTGCGAGCTGGGCTGGTGGCTCTTCCCTCGGGGTGGCTGTGTCCCTCTTGAGACAGGGTCTCGCTGAGTGGCCGAGTTGCTGGGGTCACAGGCATCCACCGCTGCTGAAGTCCTAAGTGCTGTCCTGACCCCGCCGCCCCGGGGTGCTGCTGCCTGTTTGCTCCCGCGCGTGTCTGCGGCGCCCTGACGTCTGTCTGTCCCTGCGAGCTGGGCTGGTGGCTCTTCCCTCGGGGTGTGGGA